TTAATCGTAATGATCTATCTTCAATAAAATTAATAATTTGAAAAAAGAAATTATAATTTTCTCTTTTATTCTTTTTCTTATATACAGATATATATTGGAACCATAGTGTACTTACGTAAAGTTATGCCAATATTTTAATCCAGTGGTCCGCAAATAAATATTTCTCCACTTTCTTACATATACAATATCTTTTCCTAGAATCATAATCATATTCTAAATTGACAATGGTTTTTGAATGATTCTTTCTTTCTAAATATCGATTCGATCTCCTTTCGTTTGTTTCAAAAGGCATAGATAAAATCCTTCTTAAATCTTTTAAGTTAGAAATTTTGTTGAAAAGCATTTCGATGCAATAATCAATTGTGCTCTATAAATTTATTGAAAAATTGATGTCATTCAACATATTTTTTTAAATTTTTTAAATATATGTTGATATTTTTGCAAAACGTCGGATATTTTTCATCTAATGAGGTAATTTTTTTTATATTCATATCTTTTTTCTTTTTTCAATTATCTTAGTTTTGTCAACGCGACAACTTGAAAAGTGTTTAGTAATAAATTAATTATTCAGTAGTAACTTCCATCCACCAATAATTATTAAAATATATACAAAGATGTCCATGTTCTAGATGTAGGAGTGTAATTATTATATTAATGATCTATTTGGGAAAATCTCGTGCCTAATCAATTTAAATTTATACGTGTTTAAGTTAGTTTAAGTTGGATTAAATTGTCTTGCTGGATACGGTGTTAGAAGAACATTTCCATCAAAATTTTATTTAATCGCAGTTTTAGACATGATGTTTTATTTATTAGACCACTGTGACATAAGATAGTTCACACATTGACAATTAAAGTCGTTGTTTTTGAATCCAAGAGCGGATCAACTATTTTCTTACCTCGGCTAAGGCAAATCCGGTGATGAACAGTCCGGAAAAGAAATGGATGATCCTTCAAGCTGACGAGATTAAGTTTCACAATTTAGGACTTGTAGATGTGAACAAGACATACGCAAGTAGGAAACATACAAGGAGGAAAGTAATTAATATATTTGCATTAACCATTGTAAATAAATATACTCTAATTTTTTTTTACAAATATCATATTTTTTCTGAAACTCGGTTATTTCCGTACAAATGATAGTCGAAAAAGTTCGTATAAATAAATAGCCGCACATCTTTACATCTTTTTACTCTCTTTTTCTTATTCTTTTACTTTAACTAGTTTACTTAGGTCAAAAGCTCTTGATTACAAAACTTTGTACCGGCCTAATGAATGCAATACTTATTGTCAGCTTAATTTACTTTTTACATTGTAGTATTTATTTATATGTGCTGGGAAAAAGGGACCAAAATGTAAATTTCGATCGAAATTAATGTCAAAGATCCAACTTTCATGATTAAAATTTTACTCGATCATTATGTTTTATAGAATAAATTTACGAAATTTATGAATGAAAACCTGCGGAATTTATGGATCTAGTAACGCTTTCAAAAAAATGATCACATTTTATTAAATAAGAAATTAAATCACGTGAAATTTTCTCATCATTATTGACTTTAACACCACAAATGCACGTTCGTTCCTTGGGCCTGCTAGATACTAACTTACTGATAAAGGTCGAATCCAGAAACATAAGCAATACAATAATTTAACAGGCAAATGTCCATAAGCTAAGTATTTCATAAATATAGCGTAGAATTTATTTTTATTATAAAATTAGAAGTCTATTTCGTTTTTCAAAGGCCAATAATGGGAAACAAGTCGCGTGAAGTTTTTTTTAAAAAATACATTATCTTTTAATAGTAAGGAATTTTATCATAATCATAGATCTATTATAACTCAAATTTACATAATAACTTGGTATTTTTTTAAATTTTTTTTTTTAATTTTAGTTAGAATACATTATAAAGTTTGTCATTAAATTTATCTTATTTTTAAATAAACCATATATTAAATATTCTTTGATTATAAATCTAAAAGAATTATAAAAGCTAAAAATAATAGAATATTCAAGATTTACTTAATTACAATTTAACTTGCTTTTTTTCTTTTTTATTAAAAATATAAATATAATAAAATATTCTATATATTTTTAATTATATACCTATATAGTACATCCTCTTAAGATTGAATTTGCAAATATATTTAAAGCTTAAAAATAGCTAATAAAAAATATATATTATTATACAATAAACTAAGTAACTTATACATAATATTATATAAATATCAGAATTACAAATTTGTTGATTTGATTACAAATTTTGAATATAGTATTTATTGTATTTAAACATTCTTTTATTTATTAAATTTAAATTATTTTTTATATTTTTTACTTAAATAAATACATTATAAATTAAACATAAATTATTTAAATTATAAACTATATATTATTTAATAAAAATATATAATTTCAGTTTAGATATTTGTATATAAATTTTAAGCTAATAATTATAATATTAGTATTAATAATAAATGCTTTTACAATTATTATTTAACTTTTTTAAATATATATTTACTTAATATTTTTAAAAATATATATATAAAATTTTCTATTAATTGATTATTTTTAAAAATAATATTCTTTTCAAAATTATTAAATAACTCTTCTCATTACATCAGATAAGAATAATTAAAGCTTAGATTATACTTAAAAATTTAAAATTTATATAATACTAGAAATTATAAATAGTTTTAATATTAATTTTAAGCTTAAAAATAGTAAAATAAAATTATTTACAAAGTATTTATATATAAGTTTTTATTCAATTATCTATTTTTTTATTATAATATTAACTTTTAAAAAATAAGCAATTAGATTTTAAATATTTATAATATATAATAAATTTAATATAAATATATTTTTATAAATAAAATTATAATCATTTATCAAAATTATGAGTATTTAATATTATATTTAAAGGTTAAAATAAATATTAAAATATTATAGTTAAAATTAAAAATAATTTTATAATATTATAATACTTATTTATTACTAATTATAATTAATTATTCTTAATAAAAATTATCAAATAATGATACTTTTGATAATAATTAATAAATAAAGAACTTGTTTATTCAAACTAAAATATTTATAATATTAATTTATATTTTATTATATATAAGGTTGCTAAGCAGAATCTAGAGATTTTGTAAGTTGTCTAAATGGTAAAGTAAAACTTAACAAAATTATATTAAAACCTTATTAAAAAATCTGTAAAATTCTTAAAAGATAAAACTATATCAAAATTTATAAAAATGTGAAATTATATTAAAACTTTAATAAAAAATTAGTGAAATTAAAGTTTAGATATTTTGCCAAATCCAAAATGAATTTAAATAAATAATCTTAATTATACATAAAGTTGTTTAAATTATTTATATAATTGAATTTTTAATTTCTAATAATAAATATTTATATTATCCTTTTAACTATTTTACTTACAAATTTATAGGCAATTTATTTATTAATTAAATTATTTTTAATTATTTTTAAATATATTAAAATATGTTATTAAAAAATTAATACTTTTATAATAATTTATATGATGTTTTCTAAGTAAAATAAAAAAATGTAATTAACTATTGATTTTTAAAGATAAATAATAATAAATTATTATTAAAATTTAAATTCATATATCTTACTATATATTAATCTCAAAAATATAAAAAATACTATCATTAATAGGTCTTAATTAGATAAATTCAATAAACTAAATTGAAAAATTAAAAAATTAATATAATTATTAATTTTAAAAATTTAATATATTTCAATATGACAAATCAATAAACTTTTTTTAATCTTTTTATAATCATTAGATAAATGTTTTTAAGTTTTCTAAAATATTTTATAAACAATTTTATATTTACATTTTAAGGAATACTATTTATATGTATCTAATTTTTAATAAATATTTTAATAAAATTTTAAAGAATTAATTAAGTTTAAGGATTTAATATTAAGTTTCTAAAAAGGTTTTAAATATAATGATCTATAAAATGATTTAAAAGAACTTTTTATAACAAATTATTTTTACTTAAAGTAAAAAAAAAAAATACAAATTAAATTACAGATGCTTAAAAATTTAATATTTATTTATCAGCTATTAAAAATCACTTTATTATATAGTCTATATAATCTCAAATGGAATTAAAGAAAAAAGCAATACGTTCTTCGTATTATTCTAAGAATTTACTTGTACCTGTGTAAATCTCCTTGATTTTAATATTTTTTTTTGTTCATATTATTCATTTATTTTTCTTTGTATCATTCCGATTTTCAGTTGAAATTCTGCTTTACTTTATCTGATGCGTTTGATATACCCTTTTTTTTTCTTGTCGCCTGTTTACATTATCCTATGCTAGCCTTCTAAGGTTTCTTCTTCCATTATACAGTTTATTCGTTCCTTTGTTCATATATTTTTTCCCTTTAACTTGTATCTTTCCCTTCTTTAATTTTCAATTTCAATTTCTCCTCCTTGTTCTGTTCGTTCATTTATAATATTATTTCGAATTTTCTCTATTGTTTTTCTTATTTATCATTCATCTAAAAATATTTCATCATCACCTTTTTATTGCTTAATACAAATAATATTTCCATTTTTTTTTCTTCTTTATTAATAATAGCATCCTAAGTATAAAGCTAATTTTCCTTCAACGGAGCAACAATAATTGTAACAACGGAAGGGTTTCTTAAAAAAAAAAAAAAATCATATTATCACCTCAGTGAAACTGTCTAAAATAAACATTAAAAAGGAGCTTGCCTAACAAAAGGAAAAAGGAAGATTTTGTATAACGGAGGTTGGCAACGGATAAATTTAATGCCGTTTGAAGTTTTGTTTGCAATGGAAAGCAGGGGGGGTAATTTTTTTTGCCATATAAATTCACTTCCGTCTCAAAAAAAAAAAAAAAAAAAAAATATTTATATGCTTCGACAAATTATCAACAATACAACCTTAAAAGTGAATTCATTTATAAATCATTTTTCAACAAATAACAAAATGTCTAATCTTGAAAAGGCTACATTCGCCGCTGGTTGTTTCTGGTAAAAAAAAAAGAAAAAATTGGCTTTTGTAATAAAAAATTTCACCCGTAAAGATATAAACGAAAACCAAATTTATTAATTCGATAAATACTTTTTTTAATAGGGGAGTTGAACATATTTTTAAGAAACATTTTAATGATATCAAAACTCGTGTTGGATATATCGGCGGCCTTAGCCCAAATCCAAAATATAAAGAGGTATATTGATAATTTACGATACTCTATGACCTACATATTATCTGACATTCATTTTAACATTTATAATAAAGGTCTGTAACGGTACTACAGGACATGCGGAAGCTTGTCAGATAGAATTTGATCCAACAACGACAACATACGAAACGCTCGTAGAATTTTTTTATAAAATTCATGATCCCACTACCGCAAATCGACAAGGACCCGATGTTGGCACACAATATCGTAGTGCAATATTTTATCATTCACCTAAACAGAGAATATTAGCAGAAAAGGTTACAAACCAAATACAAGAAAAGCTATCTAAAGAAAAAAAATTATATAGTGGAAGCAAAGTTGTTACTGAAATTATTGAGGCAGGCAAATGGTATGACGCTGAAGATTATCATCAAAAATATTTAGTAAGTGAAGAGATAAGAAATTAAAATTTGTGATGATTTAAATTTTAAATGAAGGATTACTAATGTTAATATTCTTAATTAATTTTTTAGGAAAAAAATCCATTTGGTTATGAGGTGAGGAATATGTCAATTTGTATTTTATTTTATCTGCGTAGTAACTTAACTAATTTTATTTATTTTTATTTTTTTATGAAAAAAAGTGTCCTACTCATTATGTAAGGTGGTAATTTAATCGAAAGTATCATTATTAATAAAAAAAAAAAAAAAAAATGCCAATTCTTAAGAAGTATAAATGATTTTGTGATGGTTCAAAACGAAAAAAGGCTCGGTCAAATTGATCAAAAAAAAAAAATTTTATTTATTTATTTATTTATTTCTTCTGTAAAAGGTGCAGACATCTGGGTGATCTCACTATGCTCTGCTGCGTCTTGAATTAAATAATCATTTCTCGTTTCTTTAATTATACCGAAAGTGCAAATCAATACAAACGTTCTAAACTGTCCATTTATATATAAGAAAATGTCATTTCGAAATGGAAGAAGAGTCAGACTCGGAGAAATAATGTGTGATTCGTTCCTTTCCACATAAAAGATTTTGCTTGTTGCGTACAATAATAATAATATTAAAATTCTGCAAAGTTATTCTTGCAAATCTAATAATTTTGTTACCCTAATTTCTGCTCCTAAAGTTGAAACATAGTCTAATATCAAAATTTTAACCTGCATTAAGTAATGAGGTTTATTAGCAATATATAAGATCTTCTAAATTATATTGAAATTAGTACACTAGATGATTTGATTTGTAATTTGCATGTATAGTGTTCACCGACAATGGACATTTAAGCGTAATGGACACTTGATATTACACATATATTAATGGAAAACCTTGTATATTTATTTATATTTCCAAAATCTCTCATTGCTCCACATGAACATTCATCGTTGTTGTCAGTAACGTACAGTCGCCAAGAAGGAGAAAACGAAGTTAATCACAAAAGTAATTTGAAAAGATGATGAATTTTGGTTTAAGCAAAGAAATTTGGAAAGGTAGAGAGAAAACTAGTTTCAGAAGCATTGTCAAAATTTTATTTGCTATCATTTGAGGCGCAGAAAATCATCATGTTCTGTATAGAAAAGAAGCCTCAAATGACATCATTTTAATGACCAAAGTCATTTGAAAATATAGTAAATGACCTTGATTTGTTTAATAATTTTCAGATAAAAAAAAAAATAGTTCCCGAAATTCTGTTCACAACCTTGTACATGTTTATTTTATGGTGAAAGATGCCTAATTTAGCATAAAAAAGTTAAAACTTCAAAAGTTGAGATGATTATGCGAGAATAATCCATCTATGAGATAAAAAGGAGCTCTCTGGAAAAAAACAAATTTAAATAGCTCTAATTTTTGCAGGAAAAAAAAAGCTTCAACAAGAATTTTAATAACCGTTTCAAACAAAGGTATACTACTACTAATTTACCATGAATCAAGCCGATAATTATCCTAAACAGCAACAACCAGCTTTTTTCTTTTATATTAACGATAACGACATTCAAAGTACTTTTAATAATAATGTTGAATTGAACAACTTGCCACTACGACTCAAAATACATTTGAATTTTATTTTCCTTTGCCGAATCTATCATGTCACCGAATTTAAGTTCACTGGAAATCGCACGAGCGTTGATAAATTTATAACAATTTGCCGCATCATTACAGCAGGTTCAGCAACAAGTTCAACAACTTGTTCAGCAACCTGTTCAACTACACGTTGAAACCCAAAACTTGTCAGAATGATACGCAGGAGACACTTTGATTTTTACTAATATGGGATTGTTTAACCAAAGAATCAAGTTGATTGTATAAAATTATTACAAGGGTACAAATTATTAATCCATTTAAGTGATAGTTTCGATCTTTCGGAAAATATACAATTTTCATTGGTTGATTTCAATTGGAACTTTCTTGAAAAATTTTCTGAGAAATATTTTCATTATTTATTTTTTATTCTATTATTTTAGTGTACAAGTTAGATTCTTGTAACATGAAATTCTAAATCTTTTTTTTAAAAAATTTGTTATAACGTGAAAGAAGATGATAAAAACTTCCTGATCGATCCTGAAGGCTGCAACCAAACTGCCAAGACTTTTTTCAATTGGCAAAATAATTATAATTTAAAATACTTGTTTCATCCCAGATTAGCAATTGAGCTTGTTCAGATAACGAAATTTTGAATTTTCTTTTTATGAAATATAATTATTCGCTTTCAATATCTCCTCGGTAGTTAAAAAAGAGTATTTCTTTATAAAATCTAAACCGGTCATGTGCCACAGTGACTAATAATACACAAAGCGTGGAATATTAATTGAAGGAATATATATATTGTATAATTAGGAAAAAATAAATGATAAGGAAAGCACAATGTTCTTTCTCACTTGCTAATGTTAAAATGTTGTTCGCAAGGAACAAAAAGAAACCAATCTTGTCTCTCATGATATGCGCAATCATCAAATCTAGAATTATGAACACCATAGTACAAAACCTAATTCTTGATATAATGATTTTCGTTTGTCTTTTATTTCGAAAAAATTAATCATATTAAAGCTAAGTTTTACTTTATGACCACATTACACATGATATTCGGTAATCACTTAAAAGATGGAGTTTTTCGCGTTAAAGATATAGAGACGAGTCTATTTCCGTTATTCATTCATTGAAGAAGCAGTCAAGAAAAATCTTTATCAGAAACGAAATTACCGTTAAATTTTCCCCCATTGCTTTCAATATTTGTATAATATGTATATGATGACATTTTCGAAACATTCGGTAGCAAACGACGATGTTGATTTATAGGCGCAAGTTTAAGAATTAAAAAGCAATAGTTTTTATTATTCTTTGCATCACTTATAGGCATTATATATTGAAATCGTATTCCATGTTAATTCCATGGATTGTAAATAATTGAATCCTGCCATAGCATTTTTGGAAATAAAACTCGTTCTTTTTTTTTTTTCACCCACTTTTCAATTTCATTATTCTAAATCATGTACCCATCACAAACCGTCGAAGAATTCTTTGCTAGAGACACAGTAATTATAAAATATTTATTTTAAAAATTTTAACGAAATTTTACATCTAAATGACTTTTTGATCCTCTTAGAAAATTCCGATTAAATTCAATCAAAATGTTCAAGGACTTGGAAGTTTAATCGGAACAGATAAAACTAAAGTAAAGATAATTTTTCCCAATTTTTTCTAAAATAATAATAATAATAAAAATCTTTTCAAATTTATAGGAAATTTTGAAAGATCAAATTGTTGAATTTCCTTTCTACATCGCAAAAGAACTTGTCGAAAGGTTAGATTCCTCAACTTATTTCCAAGGCTTCGTTTATGTGCGAAATGTAATTTCGAAGTTTGATCAATAAATTTGTTATTATAGAGAAATTTCAACGTTGCAACTACCAAAGATGTTTGCAAATGATGTAATGAATGCATTAAAAGTTACTCCCATTAATATGAATTTAAGAAACTATTGTCCTCAATTCTACACTTTTGCTTCTGATTACATTTTACTGTATCCTTACTTTCATCTTGACAATACCTTTAACAAAATGTTTGGTCTTCTTTAACTTACGTGTCTCCTTCCGACCAAAAAAGTTGGCAAGTAGTTATAAATCGGGAATATCAACTTTATGGTGATGAAAGACAATATCAATTGGATTTAACCAAAATAAACGAATTCTCGGATATTCTCAAAAGGGTATCTTTATCTATAATGTTGAAATATTGTTATTAGCTCAATTCTGCTTTACTTAAATAGATTTTTTTGCGATTACTTTTCAAGAGTAAAATCGATCGAGCTGTGGAAATATTGAATAGAGCAAAACGTTTTTTTGAGGACCATAACGATTTCTTGGAAAAATTGGATGACGAGGAAAGAAAAAGTAAGTAATTAATGATGAAAGGTGATTATGAATAAGAAAAAAATTTATAACCTGATTTTTTTTTTGGTTAGTGTTTGAGGAGCAGAGGCAAGTATGTGAAGAAACTTATGTTGATTACACAAAGATTTGTACATTATAAAAATCGGTTTATATAATTCCCATAAATGAACTCGATAAAGACTAGAATGATTTGTTTTTGAATTTTCTCTTTGAACGATTTTTTTATATAATAAAGAGACTCGGACATCTTTTATGAAAACCCTTATCTCACGTTTTTTATCAATGACCTTTTCTCTTTTTTTTTAACAAGATATTTGATAAATGTACTTAAATTAACACATTATAAATAATTAAATCATCTTCGGGCCTTACCTCTCCGCTTCATTATCAGCCCACTTTAGTCATTTCCAGCTTTTTTTGGTATGAGGAATCCGAATTTGGATTAAAAATGCTGCTGAAAAATTACATAGATTCGACCTTACTTTTTAATAAAAGATCGTTTTTATGAAGTTCATTACGCGTTATAAAACTTGAACGGATAGTGCAAAAAAAAAAAAATCAAATCAAATATTTGGTTGTAGAATGATTGATAGTTAAATGAGTTAATTGATATGTTATCCGTTCGTGCTATTTATCACGAGAAAATAAAATAAAATAAAATAAATTATCTATATGAAATGTCGAATTGATGTTGTAATTGCTGCAATATTATCACACCGAATGTCGACAGTTCTCTCCTTTACATGGTATTGAATAGTAATAAAAATCCACAAGATGTTAATTTAACGAATTCGATTTGCCAGTGTGAAAAAAATAATTGACATTGAAATATTGGTTGTATTTCGTTGTCTAACCATAACAATTTTTTTTTTATACATTGTATTCAAGACTTTATAATAAAAGATTTTCATAATTTATTTTTCATTGATATTTTAAGTTTCGAAAACTGCTTGATATTCAGTCTCTTGAACCTCTATTAAATCCTTATGAAAACTTTTCAGATGCCTCTCAAGATCATAGTTTCTTTTAAACATGTATTTGCAAGAATTAATTAAACATTTTATGTTCCTGCCCCTTTCATAATCGTAGCCTGTAAGGTGTTCAACATCTGTAATAGATCTGTTTATCTTAGAATCCTTAATATCACCATCTAATTTACGAATTTTACGTGGGCGTGATTGCTATTATTATTGCGAGGAAAAATATGTATTTTTTTTTAGCGAATAATTTTTTTTTTTTTGGAAAAAATAAAAGTATATCAATTACCTCATGAATAGTTTTGACATGATTTGTTAAAACTTTTTTATAAGCAAATGACATCTCACAAAACGGAATTTCACAAACAAATGGACGAATATTTTTATGAATTGCTTTGGTATGAACACTTAATGATTTGATCTAAGAAAAAGTAATCGGTATGAAATCATTATTTACTCTCTCCCAAATCAGAAAAATCAATTTCATGAAAAAATCTTCTTTTCGAATGCAAACTCACACTGAGAAAATATTTATCGCAACCTTCCCAGCTACAAGGAAACAATAAACGATCGGGATCATGAGTTTTCATATGAAGTCTCAATTGTTTAAAGTCTTTAACATTTTGATAACATATTTCACATGTCGGTTTATGATCTTGACGCAAATGTTTACACAGTTGATCATATTTGACGAAATCTTGCGTACACCCTTGGAATGCGCATCGCCATCGTTTTTGTCCTGAAAACCAAAAAAAAAAAAGGTTTCAGCTTAAAAAAAGAGATTCCTAAGATGGTAATAAAACCTATAAATGAATAATACCGGAATGTATTCTCTCGTGATCTCGTAATTTGGTGGAAGAAGAAAAGCTTTTCGTGCACTCGGGATGTTCACATGGATAGGGTCTTTTCCCCGTATGTATAGTCATATGAATTCTTAACAAGTAACCTTGCGTGAAAGATTGATTACAGTCTCGTATATTACACTATTTAACGGAAGATGAATGAATTCCTTAGTGAAATAAGTCAAATCCAAACAGAAACGCGATGTTAATACCTTGAAGGGCCTTTCAATTTCATGCTGTTCCCTTTTATGTCTCGTTAGATGACTTTTAAAAGAAAATTTCGATTCACACCCAACCACCAAACATTTAAAAGGTTTGGTATCTTCACCATGCGTTACAGCATGAATACGTAAATGATCTATACGTCTATATGATTTCCCACATCCTGATTCACAACACACAAAAGGTCGCTAAAATCAAATTAATTTTTGAAAAAGATCAAACTTAATTTAAAGGTGATGCAATCATTCCCAAAGACATTACCTCCTCAGAATGTGTTTTCTCATGCTTTTCAAGTCGACATCGAAATTTAAATGATTTATCACATCCCTCAAAGGTACATTCCCAGCAACGATCCCCCTTCATCGTACCATCAACAATAAAACTTTTATTATTTTGATCATCCTCTTGTGACTTGTCTAAAGATGATAGATGATCAGTAATTGCATTCATTTCTTCGAATTCATTGTTATTTATTCCATTTTCATGTAAATGACTTTGTTGACCATTATCCGTTGATTTCTTATATGATTCTTGTAAAGTTTGCTTAGAATTTGTGATATTAATTTCTATCATGGTTATAAATAATAATCCATTATAATGGACAAAAGAATTAAAAAAAAAAAAAAAAAAAAAAAAAAAAAAAAAAGGATCGACTTAAAATAAATTATGGAGTTACACAAACTAAAACCCGTACATAAAAAAAAATTTTCTTTTCCCCCGGATAAATAAAATGTCAACACCCAATCATATAACACATCTCATTCGTATCGACCATCTTTGTAAAGATTGGTGTTCAAAACATTCTCGTT